ACTACAAACCACATTACATGTACTTGAGAAATCACCTATATTTTTTCAGAATAACAAAACAAGATTTTGCTTGACTCGAGATACAAATTCAATTTCTTATAGGCTTAAAAGTGCGACAAATAGCCTAGAAGCAATGGTCAGAACAATAAACATTGAGTTCTGAGGTTAGTGGCCCGTACGCAAATAATACTACGATCATTTTTTACGCTATTTAAAACAATTATCAGCCGAAATGCGTAAGTCAGTCTCGATTCATGTATAAATTGAGGCTATCAGTCAGCATTTACAAAGAATTACGTAGAAATGTGAGATAATATACGACATACTACGAATCTTTTCACGTCACAGCTAAATTTATCTCGCTTATCATTTAATTCACCTGTGGTTATTTTCTAAAGTTTCAAATGTACTGCCACTGAACGACTGATGAGAATAGTTCGCTTCTTCTTTTTTGTCCAAAGGTATGACTAATTGAAAAATACAAACTGTGAGATTTTTTTAATTTCATTTTTTACAACAAAAGCAAAGTAATGCAGGGTAACTTTGTTAATATCTCGTTTGATTGGTGGGTGGACCCATCATTCATAAAAAAAAAGGAATTACATCACCTGCTAGTTCGATGATGAAAAAAAAAAAAAAAAAAAAATACAAAGTTCTGCTCCAGAAGTTTTTCAAAACGTCTATACATTTAAAAGCATAGTTGTAATATTCGAAAATTCTGTGCCATTGAGAAATATTATCTATTTAACTGTATGGTAAACGAGAGATTGAAAGTTCCGATTCAAAAATACAATCATCCCTGACTTGTTACACCAAAACTGCTAGCAAGCTTTTAAAATAAAATTTCTAACCAATATCCCTTTTAGTAATTGTACATTAACAGCATTACGATTTTAACCACTATGTAGAAACTTCAATTTCGCAGGTTTCATTTAAAAATAAACTATTTTAAGTTTTTGCAATTTCCAGGAGTAATGAATTCTAGATAATATTAACAAACGATAATTATTTTTTAAATATTTATAACACCTACAATTTGCTCAACAGATACATTTTTCTATAAATTAAAAATTCTGTAGTCAAATGTCTAGTTTTTCAAAACTTAATTGATTAATTAAAAAATTATCGAAATGGTTGTAACTGCTCAAAAATAGTCATAAATACTCTCGACAATTTGGAGTTTCTTTCAAACAGTTGTCCAACTGAATCTTGCCTTTTTTTTCAAAAACCAGGATTCTTTTTTTACTAGCCTATGTGCAAATGCGAAAAAAAAACCAAATTGAGCAAATTGATACCAAACTTTAATTCTATCCAATGTAAGAGATATACCTTTAAAATATATCCATTGGGAGTCGGAGCCGGAGGATTTTGAAAGCTAATAGACGTTGTTATGACCTACTTTAACTAGTTTTGGTATTTCGAAAGAAACAGTTTAACGGTATGATGGAAAAGCGTACTGCATGAGACTCATGCACGTTTACTTAGTCAACGAACTGATTGATGCAGATAAAAATTTTGAAATTAAAATTTTAATTTTGCAAGATAAAATTAAATTACACATTATTATAAAGTGAAATAATTTATTTATTGAAAAAGTCGAGATCGATTATTCGTAATAGTAAAACAGATTTTGATTACGTTTTTTATTTCTCTTTTTTCGACAAATAAAATAACTTTGAAATAAATGTTTAAATTATGATGTAATTAGGTCATGCTAATTACATCACCATAAATTAAATTAAATATATAGATGTATTACTGAGTTTCAACTAACATGTAATCATTGACATTATATTAAGTAAATTAATTGCCTATTTCAACAATGTAATAAGTATAATGTGACGCGTATCAATGTACAGGTTTGTCATAAAGCACAGATGTTCTGGTAGATGTAACCATTAAATTAAATTACTGTGAGTACTGTGACTCTGCTGTGACTAGTCGGAAATTTTTGCAAAAATGCAATGTCATAACATTACCTTTGTTTAATGAAAAAATGACTGCAATCATTTGCTCCTTGCAATAAAGCATCATTAAGAAAACACAAACAAGGGATACACTTGATACTGAATTTTTGCAAATGTTCTCTTTTTATCGATCAACTTGCTGCAACAAAAAAACCCTACTGCACGAGTATCTATAAGTACACCTATACAACAGAGAGAATGGGTTTTGGGTTTCACCACTTATTCCAATGCAGGTGTATGTATAGTACTTACGTATATACAATACAACCTTTTTTCATGCGACGCGGGCGAGGGTTTGCTTGGCTGTGCCATTAACCCTACGATTTATTTGTTTTCTCTCTCTTTGATGTCGATGACCCTCCGTCGACTACTTACTTTGTTCATCATAACTGTCTGTGTTGTTTATTTTATTTTTTTTCTTATCCACCTGGCCCAGACTCTTTCTTTCACAGAGCATTCATGGGCAGCTGGTCATTAGACCGATAGAACGAGCCGAAGCCAGGACATGTGTGTGCAGCGGCTTCATAGCTTTCATTTTTAAAAACTGATCTGACTATATATCTGCCCATGGCACGCGTGTGGCTCACTGCCGTCGACCAACTTCGCCACGTGTGTACGTGTATGTGCAGTGTACGTTTAAAGGTAGCTGGGCTAAGCGACGCTCGACGATTATTTGGACGTTCATGTATGGACTCTAAATACACCTACATGCCCATGCTCGCCCTTGCCGGAGTTCGATTATTGTCGTTTATTTTGCAAAAAAAAAAAAAAAAAAAAAAAAACACGTACGCAGTTTCAATGCTTTAAGACTTCATGATTCATTGTTTTCACTGATAAGATATAACTACAAAAGTTAATATACTTAAGTGGGATGTTTCACTTCTAAAAATATTAAATTTTACATTGCTTTGGAATTTCAATTCAAGCCAGAGGATGAATTTAGCGACTACGCCCATATTGGCATGTGCATTGTCACAAAACGTAGTAGGTAGTGCATTAACACATAAAAAAATGACGTTCAGTATATGGTGTACTGTTTCAAATAATACAGATGGATCACTTGATAAAGTAGTAGACCGAGTATAATGTGTACAAGCGAATTCGATATGTCGAAATTTTGATGCCTTTAAACTACATTATCAACTAATTAAAAACTTTATTCAATATGGAATTGCACAATGAAATTATGAGTTCATGAATGTTCAAATGATTTGTACATTAATATAATTTCGTTGCTGGCTCTTTAATGAGTTTAATCAAGTAGGACGGGAGCGCTATCAGGTAAGTTTGAGGAGCACGCGAAGCCCCGGCAACCGCGCTACTACGTATTTACACTTGCGAGTTATTGCTTTACTCGAGCATTCAAAAAAAAAATATATATACTATGACTGAGATCGCAAAACTGTACTTTGATAATGATATATGAAATGGCACAATACTTTGACTGGCAATTGAACAGTTGGGTTTTTGAAATGGACAACAACCTCGACAACAATGATCAACGCGAAAAATGTGATGTAAAACAAAGTCATAATAGTAATACTAAAGTTTAGTTGACCTGCGAGGTACAGCTGCTCGAATGAAGCCCACGAGTTCGGTAAACTAGAAATATTTTCAAGGTTTACTCATCTGGATGAGGTTTTTCTCTGAAAAAAAGCTTATCTAGCACCGTCGCGGGTTAAAAAAAAATTCAGGATGGCTTGTCAAATGCGCGGAAATGAAAACAACGTGACAAAAGGGGATGGGGTTAAAATCAACACCAATTACACGCAGGTGACAAAGTATATATCCGTAAAGGCTAGTGTAATTTTGTACGTGGATCAAAGCTCGAAATAAAACTAAAATGTATCGAGGCATATGAGACGCGATGCAGGAGTAAAACAGATTCGAAAATAATTTAGCCCGATCTTGCAAATGTGGTGCACAACAGCTGCGAATGAGCTGCCCGACCTCTATACGATACAAATAAATAATTCGCTCTTCTTCTGGGCATAGCGAGCAAGTTGCCGAAACTCTCTCTACGAGTTTAGTTGCTCCGCTTGCCCTCCCACACGCGCTTATAATACACACCATCTCCGAAGCGTTTATACGCGCTGCATCAAGTGTATATAATATTTATGTACTTGTTAACTTGGGAAAGAAACAGATTCGTCTTTTAAAATTAACAACGCGCGATTGGGTTGTGTAATCATGAAGATAAAACATTAAAAGTGCGGTTTGATGTTTGTTGTGAAATTTAGACGATCAAGTATACACGAAAAATTCCAGATCGTCAGTTCCCATGGTACTTATTAATTATGACAATTGAGTAGTAGTAACAATAAAAAAAAAACTAATTGTTCCTTGTTTATGAGTTGTATGTATAGGGTTCATATGATATATATTATTCACTAGACTAATCTAACAAATTAAGTGAAATATGAATGTTTTATATTCATAAATAATAATGAATTGCGTGTTGGTAAATTAATGTACAGCATCATAAGATGAGGTGATTAACAAATTTGATTCAATGTTCAAAAAAAGGAAATGTAGCTATTTAAAAAAAATATTCAAGTAACGTTATTTCGTTCACACTTTGGATAATTGGAGATACTTGAAATTATATGTACACTCATACGTTTGTGTTCCTTCTGGCGCAAAAAGTAAGCAACACTACTTTCCCAAAGTCAAAATTCTACGCCAAGGAATGGGGTTTAGGATAAACATTGTACTGTACGCGTAAGTAATATTTACCTTTTTTTTTTTTTTTTTTCTACGATTTAGCGTTTATTGTACTGTCGAAAGAAACGTAACACGCCAAAAGCAACGTGCTTGTAATCAATTGTTACGACGGCGAATCAGAAGCCACGTAAAACTTTTACACAGAGCGCCGAAAATAGCACGTAAAAATTGTTAGCCTTTCAAATCGCCGGCTCGCCCCCAGGGACGCGCTCAATAATCTCGTGTAAGTTTTAGCTGATCGAAAGGCCGAAGGTAAACCCACGATCGGTATAGGCATAAGTACTTGGTGAATATTAGCATATTACTTACCCAGCAGCAAGAGTTTGAGCTCGCGCCTGGCATCGCGCTTGTCCCTCCTGAGCTGGCGCTCGATTTCTTGGTTGATGCGCTTTTGCTCCTTGGCCTCTTCCGACAGGCAGCACGCCATGGTTGCGGCCGGTCGTTGCACCCCCTCGACTCGCGAGGAGACCGACGACTAGTCCACGACGACGGCGGCGACGGGCTCGCCCGATCCTCGGTAAGCCCAACAACAGCAGCGGTAACGAAGGCAACGCTTGTTGCGCCACCGACAATTACAACAACAGTAGCAGCAGCAGCAGCAGCAACAACAACAACAACAACAACAACAACGAAAACAACTATAACAATAACAACGACGACAACAATAACGAACAGCAGTAGCACAGCCACTGTCAGCACTGGGTACGTATTTGTACGGCACGTGAGATCAGACCACGACGGGCACACGCGACGAGCAGCTACACCACCATCACCAGCTTTATCATCTTTCCCGCGGGCCCGTGCCGCCTCCTCTTCCTCCGCCTCCTCGTGCTGCCGGCACTCCCAGGGTCACGAATTCTCCGTTGTCCCCAGGAAGCGCGTTTCTCTTTCCCCTTGCCACTCGCTCCGGAACACCAAGGTCTTTGACAGCGGCACGTTCAACGGGATTAACCACAGTCGCCGTTGATCGTCTCTACTATGCTGCCGATTTTTCCATATACTGGTCCCGATTTGAAGAGGCCCAAGCCGATGATGACACAGAGAGAGAAACTGAACAAGTGCACAATGCCGCACTCTCAATGTCAGCGACAAGTGTTGCACATTTTATATGCGCCAGTCAGGCCCCCCACAGCTTTCCAATGTGTATATATATATATATATATACACACTTCGGCAATTTTGGAGCTCTCTCGTCTGCTGTTGTGTAAAAAGTATATAGTGTTTATTGTATCCCTGATGGTTGCTCTGTCGACTGTTTAGCTGCTACAACAACCCGTGCATCCTGTCACAGAAGAAAAGTTTGCTCTTTATAGTTATGAACAAGTGTGTTGGTAAGTAAGTAAGTAATAATAATATATATATATATAATAACATGAGTGAAAATCACATCTGCAAAGCAATCTGTCTACTGTCTGCTACTGATTTTACCGCTCACTTGCGCGTGTGCGTGCTTATAGGTGTATGCAAAAATTACTCACACGTGTGCACGAGAGGAAGAGCAGTAGCAGTATATAAATATATAGTGGCACTAACAGCAGTAGACAACCAGTATTATACATTTTGTATACCCAAGTATACATGGATGTGAGGGAATAAGTATACAAGAGAAAGAGGATAAGTTAAGAAAGGGAGATGCGACAGCAAGACGGAAAAGGAGGAGAGGACGTGTATACATGCACCCAGGCATCGAGAAAGCAAGCACACCCACACGGATGAAGTAAAAAAAAAAAAAAAAAGAAAAAAAAAGGCAAGAGACTCTACATAAAATGAGGAATCCAAGGAAAACTATCAAACTCTCGCCCCTCCCCCCACGATTTAATAAACCTTACAAGTTTACCCTCCAGTAATGGCGCTTGGATGAAGTAAAAAAAAAAAAAAAAAAAATTATNTGTGAGGGAATAAGTATACAAGAGAAAGAGGATAAGTTAAGAAAGGGAGATGCGACAGCAAGACGGAAAAGGAGGAGAGGACGTGTATACATGCACCCAGGCATCGAGAAAGCAAGCACACCCACACGGATGAAGTAAAAAAAAAAAAAAAAAAAAAAAAAAGAAAAAACAGTGGAACCGATCTTGTTGTGGGTCAGGCTTGAGGAATCACCATGTGAACTTAGTTTTGTATTAAAAAAAAAAAAAGAAAAAAAAAGGCAAGAGACTCTACATAAAATGAGGAATCCAAGGAAAACTATCAAATGAGCTCGCACCGCGTTTATATTGCACACCTGAGTATACTTATACTATTATAAGAGAGGAAAAACAGAGAGAGCGAGAGAAAGAAATAAGTGAGTAAAGTACGTGGTGTGTGCCTCGAACCTCTGATGCATGCGTGCGTGACACCTCGAGAGAGTCGAGTAGCACATCAAAGAGTGCGAGAGAGAAAGAGAAATGAAATACGATTCCGGAGGAGACTAACGAATATAGGTTAAGGAGCCGCGCGCGACAACTCAGGCACTTTGGAATAACCGTGGACGTGGAGATGAACTCAAGTAAGTTGTTTGGTATTATTTCAACACACCAACTCTCGATAACACACGTCCATATAAATAATCGCCGAGAAAAATAAGTACGAGAAGCAGGAAGCACATCGAGAAAGGAGCACCTGGACGACTCCAATAGACCTAACGCCGTAGCCGAGCCTATGTAATCTCTTTCGTTTTTCTTCAGCTACCTACCTATATATAGGTACCTCATCAACACCCTAGCTACACACTCATCGCGTATGATATTAGCACGTAAGATATTTTACAGATAAGTTGATGAGTGCTAACAAGTATACCGTTCCATCAGCGGGTGCGTCACCATAATCGTTGTCGCAAGTGCGTAATCATCATTACACGACAACAGCAGTAGGTACTAGGTATACAGAACCTAATAGGTACATGTGTATAGGTAACTCCACGCACTTTGTAAGTAAGTACGTATTAAGTATAGTCGAGGTGAACTCGGCTGCTTGAGTGCTTGCTCAATGCTCATCACACCCGGACACACACACACACACACACACGCGTGTATATATATATATATATATATATATGTATGTATGTATATGTATATTTAAAACTACACGAATACTGGTGAATATACTGCACGGAAGATGTTGTACCCCCTAGGTAGAGGTAATGCCTACACCGCAGCAGAAGCTCCGAACGGTAGGTATATATAGCGGCGCGCGTGTGACTCCGACTCCGTTTATTAATGAGCGTGTAAGTGTAACGTAAGGTGCACGGGTACAAGAGGAGTTGGCAAGTAAATAATAAAAGTAATGATCTAGCACATCGGACACACCTACGATTATAAGTTATAAACACAAAATGCACAGATGTATGTACACACAGGAGGCACACACGCGCGCGCGACACAACGAAAATCGCCAACAGCCAGTATGAGGTATAATAGTGGTGGCAGTAGCAGGGCTTGCAGAAGAGAACGTACTATCATCCAGCGGCTGCAGCAAAGAGCAGATGCGAGAGAACGAGGAGAAGAGCGGCGAGCGAGAGCTGCTGTGCTGTCCCCCGGCTCTCTTGGGTGTGTCTAGCAGAGCGCTCCGTCTCTCTCTTCCTCGCACCCGCTCCGTGTAAAAGCGCTACGGGCGCTTTGTACATATATATGTATATATAATACATATATGAGAGAGAGAGAGAGAGAGAGTCGTGTATATACAGAAAGAAAGAGAGAGATCACCATCAATTCTACTTTTTTCTCACTCACTCTTTGGGTAGTTCAATGTATAAATATATAGCTGGAGGGGTAAGCAGCAATATAGCAGCATGATTATGTACAGGGATACAACAGAGCCATAGATGGGTATTATGCATGGGCAAACTATGGGTGTATGTGTGGACATGTTGTGTACACCACCTATACAACCTTTCGGCTTGACAGCGGACGTTAGCTTGACTCGGTAGAAAAAACACTACACACTACACTGCAATGCTGCATGCTGGCGAGCGGTAGCAGCGGCAGCAACAGCGACGACTGCGGCCTAGACCGCGAACTCTCTTGACTTGACACAAGAGCGCGCGCGCGCCTCCTCTCTCCTGTGCCGAGCTTTCGGAGCTTTCACTTTGCCCTTGGTAAGATTCTTTTAATTTAATTGCTGTTGCCCTACACGTCGTATACATTGTACGTACATACATACAGGTTGTAATGTACAATATACACACGTAGTAAATATACCACGTTGGCGTGTAGTGTGTGTATATATATATATATATATATATATATATATATATATATATATATATATATATATATATATATATATTGCTAAATGTTGCTTCACAATTTCGTCGACGAATTGGCTGGAGAGGTTCGTTTTTCAAAAAAAAATAACTCTTGTAAGTTATAGTACGACAGATCTCGAGTGGTGTGCGCTTGCGTGCGTATGGTTATTATTTGGGAGTTGGTCCTATAGGCGTCCTAGCCTTTGAGCAGAGCTTTCACTGATGTCGGATTTTGTTGTATCTACAAACCATACGGTATACTATTAGATGCGTCATTAACGAGCATCATCACCGCGACGAGGCTGCGGATGCTCATCGGCTTTTTTTTTTTTTTTTATCACATTGCGGTCTATCTGTCGCTTCGTCCCATATCACTCGAGTAAGCATAAAAATACGCTTGTTGGGCATAGGGATGGAGGTAATAACGTATAGGTGAGTGTGTGTATGCGTATAATATATATAGCATGTGTGATGCAACTTATGGTGCGGTTGTAGGTGGCGCGCGCAGGAGGTTTATAAACTACACGTTATTCGCGTTATACTTAATAAGTGTATCCACCTCCCTTTGCTCCGAAATCCGCTTACGCGACCAAATTCGATTAGCGACCGAGACGAGACAGTATAGGTACTTTTTACGGAGGGCGCGCGAAGCCCGAGAAGAGTCAAGTCCAAGTATCAATGTCTCGCTTTGGCTCCACATATACCTACCTGTATTTTTATCTGCTGGTGCGCGTGCAATGACGTTGATGTGTACCTGACTCCGATCGGCTACGTGTTGTGACGAAAATTGTTGTTGTTGTTGTTTTTTATTTTATTTTTTTTTTTTTTTTATTGTGGTACACGACTGTGTTAAAAAAGGTTGGTTCTTTAAATTGCCGGGATCTCGCTTTTTAAGGGAACAAACAATTTCATGCATCTTTGTTCGATGTTACCGATGTTACCATTAATGTTACCGTTGCTCACCACTTGTGTGTTAAATTAATGAGGTACTTGAATGAGATGTTTTTAACACTTTTTTAATTGTCACTTTCAATCGTTCATATTATATATACACACGACAGTCCAATGCATACCTCAATGAGTTTTTAAAAAAATCTCTGTTAATGAATTTACCGCAAACTACATCAAAACTCAAAGCTTTTTCGAATATCGTACCTCCACTCTTTGAATTAAACAACTCAAAGTTTTCAAGATTTTAATAACAGCCAATGGCTTTTTTCCTGTATCTTTTTTTTTAATCGTAATAAATGTAGCTACTCATGCTTCCGTACGTTGCTTAAGCAGTGACTCTTACGAGAAAATAACGAGCGATGTGGTGTGATTGAAAAAACGCTATCATTCAACGCGTTCACTTTATTTCAGCGATTACTGATAGTCTTTTTTTTCGGAAACAGTTGGTCATTCGACTGTTGCGACACGTCTTCAAAAAAAAACGTATAGCGCCAAGTGCCCGAAAATTAGTTTTTAATAGAGCCTTCCTTGCGCGCATTAGTGATATTCTGTCTCTATTGTCATTTATTATAGTATTTCAGAGCTTTTCTGTAAAAAGTGCCAAATGCCATTATTTGTGGCTCAAAGATACGATCTTATAAATTTTTTGTGCACCGAGTGCATTGATTTCGTTAATAATACATTTATTGCACAAAACAAAGTACAAGATTAATTACATAAAATAAATACCGTTACCTTCAATTTTCATTATCAAGGAAATTTCCTGTGGTAATGCGTCGACATAAATCCACGATTGTCGTTATTTGGCCAGTTCCAAACTTTTCAGTACAATTTTAATGAAATAATTAGCTTCGAAAATTTCTTTCGGTTCGTCCTGAGGGTTGGTAATCGAATACACACAACTCGTATGTACCTATATGACACAACAGATATTTGCGAAATTAAAATCCAATAAACAACTGTATGAAAATAGATGGCCATCGAAAGGAGAGGTACGAAATGGAATGTAATCTAATCCTGGTTGAGGCTTGTATGCCACTCCTGCAGCAAATGAAGATTTTGTACTTGAGGATAAACTGCAGAAAAGAAAGAGGAAGCAGATATGCAATCTGATGATTAAACGTAATTGGATTTCTCTTTATTCTTTGGAGGTCGGAAGACTTTATGTGGATCATTATGCCAACTATGTGACGGGTTTGTACCTCGGAACTCCAAGATTTACTTTGATGGTTGGGTTGTTTATTTTTCACGCGAAACAAAGAACAGAAGCTTTCGTAACGATTTATCGAGTACTCGACATTTGAAAAATCGCTAAAAAAATTCCTTTCCAATAGTTTTCTTCGAAATTTAAATATTATTTCAGTACTGTTTTTATTCATGAGCGCTGTAAACTTTTTTATACGATTATTCATGAATGAAGAAAATGAAAACTCTAATTTGAAGTACAATAATTTAAAATACAATAATCAATATTAGATTTTTTAAACGTTACGAAAAGTGAATAAGTGTCATTCAAAACGCAAAATCCGTTTAGAAAATAATGTAAATTTTACATGATTATTCTTCATACCACGGACGCAAAGCGATTAGCGATTGACCGTCACCAAACTCAGTGGTGACGATCACCATTTCTCAATTTCTCGTCATGAATGACTCATGTGCTTGCGGCGCTTCATATGCCTATATATACACCAAACATTGTACTGTTGCATTGTTGTTATCCATACATTTGGATCATAAGTATATTTAATAAATCAAAAAATCTCAATTTAACATGATCGTTTAATCGCGAAAAAGCAAGAGCGTACAAAAACTGTATTGCGCGCCTAATATCTCTGTGATGCATGTTGGGTGTACGTGATGGGAAAAAGCCCTTGAGGTTGGTTTATTTCCGATGGATTAGGATGCGGGGCTTCGGCTATGCATACTATTATTCAGGAAAACGTCTTCTTGCGCTCGCGTACCGCGAAATTATTATCATCATTATGTGCGTTTGGAATTGCACTTTCCTTGAATTGGGATTGCAGAGCTTTGGATTTCTCAGCTTCAGCTTTACGATAAATCAATGTCGTTTTGTTGTCGTTTCGTTGTGTAATGAATTTTACACGTGTTTTTGCCGGTTGAGAAAACCGCGATCGCATATAATCATTTTGCATTCGTATATAACATATACACATTTTTGGTACAGCAGTTGGTAAAAACGATTCCTTCGTTCTTATCTCCCATTTTTTCGTTTTATAATGCATTGAAATAATCAGTTAAACTCTGTTTCTTAATTTTCGTCGAAACGTTTTCATGAATATCGAGTCTAATACCTCTAGTGTCTATTTAACGCATTATTACCATCGGAAATATTTTATGACTCACTATATTCGAATCCAAAAAATACCAACGTAATACTGTAATCAGTATTTTCTGGAAAACATTATTATTCGTTACACTTTCCAAACATTGGCGCCTGGGATTGTAATTTAAATTAAAGTCGTTTCATCAATTCCATTAATAAGACGAGATACGCGAAACATTAAGCATTCAGTCAAACAAGTTTTGTTTTATCGTCTCAAGAATGCACGGTCAAACTCAACCCTTGAAATAATTTTTAATGATAATCGGCTTTTCGAGCGAGCAAGTTAGATAAGCTGACATGTTTTCCCGGAACAATAACATTTGATTACACAATATTATTGATTGTTTCAGTGGAAAAAAGTAGTTTTGTTTATAGCTTTAATTTAATCATACCTGTATTTAAAAATTTTTTAATGACAACAAAACTGCCAAGGACTGTCGGGGGAAGGTTGTTGAAAGAAAACAAAAGTCGACCAGCGGACACATGCTATATTATTGTACTGTAATATTACTTACTTTTAATGATTATTACTTACTAAGATTATATATTTATAGGTATGGCTACAGTAAAATTAGACAACACGACATAAATATGACAAACGACATAACAACGATCGATTCCACAGTTACACCGGTGTCTTTTTCTCATTCCATCTATATAAAATAATCTCTTGTTTCTTTTTTTTCCTCTTTCTTCATAATATATGTATTTCTTTTTTTCATTTGTGTTAATAAATAAGATCAGGTAAAAAGCTTACGATTAAAGACTACGTTATCAGCACTCTCTCCCTTGAAACGATTTAATTTCATTATTTAAATACCGCATTTTCTCTACTTTAAATACTTTTTTTTTTTTTTTTTAATCACAATACTCTTGTAGAATCTCATTCTTAAGGTAAAAATATAACTCTCGATTTTTCTTGATTTTTTTTCCTCCTAATTGTCTCTTGAGTATTTCACTGTATAAAAAGCGCTCGTGTAAAATCTTATAAAATCTCTATACAAAAGTAAAAAATGTACTTGGAGACTTTATTTACCGACATACTCTCAAATAATTTAACAATTGTTTCTCAAAGAGAATGCTGTAAAGGTAATCGACGTTAGAAAATATAATCTTAGCCTCTTGCGATTTTCAGGTTTTCTTTGTTTTTTTTTAATTTTTTTTTTTTATATATTTTAAAAAAAGGCGTAACGATGGGTCGATCCTTTAACTTAGATATTTGAAAATTTGTATAAAAGAACAATCCATCTTGACTAAAATCTGTTGTTTCTTATATCGTATAACGGAATAAAAACATACACGTGCGAGCTCATTCATGACGTTGATGATTTGTTTTATCTGTTTAATGTGTTTTAACTTCTTCAAGTTTATATTGTCATTTTGTTTACTACATACGACTAAATATAATATTCCAAAATGTTCTACGTTGTATCGTAATGACCATAGATAATTGTACTAATAGTGTTATTGTTACATGCGGTTTAAAGAAAATATCATGTTTTTTTTTTTTTTTTTTTTTTTTTTTTTTTTATTGTGGTACACGACTGT